ATAAAAAACCTCAAGATAAAAATCTCAATATAAGAATTGTATGTGACAAACCCACAGTCAACATAATGCTCAATGTTGAAAAGCTCAAGTTTTTTTCCCTCTGAGATCAGGGATGTCCACTGTCACCATTATCTGTAAGTATAGTGTTGAAAGTACTAACAAGAGAAATTAGACAAGAAAATAAAAGGTGTCCAAATTGCAAAGGAAGAAATAAAATGATCACTGTTTGCAGGTGATAAGATATGTAGAAAATACCAAAAAACACCATTAAAATATATTAGAAATAATAAATGAATATAGCAAGGTGCTAGTCTACAAAACTGATACACAAAAATCCGTTATGTTTCTCTAAGTAAACAAAAAACTAGCAGAAATAGAAATCAGGAAAACAATCCTTTTTGCAATTGCATCATAAAGAATTAAATACTTTGGAATAAATTTAACCAAAGATGAAAGATAAAAGACATTGTTAAAATAAAAGACTCAAGAAATGGAATGATATTTCCATGCTCATGGATTAGATAAATTAGCATCATTAAATTCACTATATTACCTAAAGAAATATACAGATTCATCAAAATCCCAATTGCTTTCTTCAGAGAAATAGAAAAAACAAATCACAAAATCTATTTGGAACTACAAAAGATGCAAAAACAGTCCTAAGGGGAAAAAAGGCCAAATAAGGACACAGAAACATTAATTCCAAAGAGCACCTGCACCCCTATGTTTATAGAAGCACTAATTACAATAGCTAGGCTTTGGAAACAACCCAAATGCCCAAAAATAGATGACTGGATCAAGAAGATGTGGTACATATATACCATGGAATATTACTCAGCATTCAAAAAAGATAAACACATGCAATTTGCAGCAACATGGATGGAGCTGGAAGGGATCATGCTCAGCGAAATAAGCCAGAAAGAAAAAGAAAAATACTGGATTCTCTCACTCATAGCAGGAATCTAGAAAACTTGAATAAGGGACCAGGAAAAAGAATAACTATAAGAAAGAAAATATCAAAATCAACAAACAACTATGAACCAGAGACACTCTGTGGGGGGTTGGGGGCGGGGAAAGTTTTTTCACTATGTTAACTAATATTTTCTAAAACTATGTGTTTGATTTTTTTTAGTATACTAACTTCTGATTGTCTTTGAGTAAAGATATTTACCCAACCAGAAAAAAAAAAAGCCAAATAATATAGGTATCATACTCTCCAAATTCAAACTATAGACTACAAAGCAATAGTAACCAAAACAGAATGGTACTGGAATACAGATCAATGGAACAAAAGTATGAACCCAGAAATAAACCTACACATTAGATGGACAATTAATTTATGACAAAGGAGCTATGAAAGACTCTTCAATAAAAGGTGTTGTAAAAACTGGATAATCAGCCACATGCAAAATAATGAAACTAGACCATTATCTATTACCATCACAAAAATTAATTCAACATTGTTTAAAGACTTTCATGTAAGACCTGAAACCATAAATATAGAAATGTCTTAGAGATTCTATTTCACTGGTGAGGCAAAAGCAAAAAATAAACAAATGGAAGTAAAAAGCCCCTATACAACGAAAGAATGTATACATCTGACAGGGGTTAATATTCAAAATATATAAAGAACTCATAAAACTCAACAACAAAAATATATAATGAGAATTAAAAAATGGTGGAGCATCTGAATAGACACTTCTCCAAAGACGATGTACAGATGGTCAATAAGCATTTGAAAAGATGTTCATTATCTCATAATGGAAATGCAAATCAAAACAACAATGAGATATCTTCTCACACCTGTGAGAATAGTTATTATCCAAAAAGAAGAAACAATAAGTGTAATGTAAATTAGTGCAGACATTGTGTAAAGCAGTATGGAGAGTCCTCAAAAAAGTAAAAACAAGGCCTCCCTGGTGGCGCAAGGGGTTAAGCACTGCATTATGAAGCAATCCACAGCCTCTGCAACACGAGATCAATCCCTGGCCAGCCAGAGAGAAATCCACATGGTGAAGCAGACCTCTCCTGCCTCGTCTGCTGCTCCCCTCAGCAGTGTGTTTCAGTCAGTCTGCCTGTTCTGTTCCCCACTCTGTCTCTGGTGGATCCTCTCACCACCCGCATCTCTGGCCTGTACCCCAGCTCCTGTAAGCATAAATAAACAAACCTTTTTTTTTAAAAAAAAAAGTAAAAACAAATTCCATACAATCCAGTTATCCCACTTCTGAGTGTTTACCCAAAGAAATTTGAAAAAGATCTATGCAATCCAATGTTCCTTGCAACATTACATACAATAGCAAAAGATCTATGCAACCCCATGCTCCTTGCAACATTATATACAAAAGCAAAGAGATGGAAACAATTTAAGTGCTCATCAGCAGATGAATGGGTAAAGAAGATGTGCATATAGTATATATACACAATGGACTATTCAACTATTAAAAAAAGATTAAAAGATAAAATCCTGATACATGGACAGACCTAGAGGGTAGTATGCTTATTGAAAGAAGTCAGATGGAGAAAGACGTGATTTCACTTATATGTGGCATACACAGAAATAAAAGAAACAACTGAATTAAATAAAACAAAGTTAAACTCAGACTATAGAACCAAATTTTAGTAGAACAGAAGGGGGGTGGAGAGTAGGTAAATAGGGTACAAGGGGTCAATTGTATGGTGAAGAATGGAACTGGACCTCTAGTCGTAAAATTAATGAAGTATATATACAGATGTTGACTTACAATGATATACTCCTGAAACTTATATAATGCTATTATGCAATGTTACTTAAATAAAATTAATTTAAAAAATAAAATAGCATGTGATTCCAAAGAGAAATGCAAATAACAAAAAGGGTGCATTAATCAAAATAAATAAAACTTAAAGTGAAAATAGTAATTTTTATCCACAAATATTTTTTTTTTACATTTTAAAAGGAAAGGTTTCTTAGGAAAAGGGGAAAGAAAAAGAGAGGCACCTACATAGTCACAGGTGGGCAGGAGAGCTGCTGCTGCTGCTGCTTTGCAAAGGGAAAGTGTTTATGAAAAGAAACACCTTCATAGTCACAGGCAGGCAGAAGACTTATTATCCATAACTTTTAAAACCATCTGATAGCCTTAATAACACTCTTCCTCTCTATATTGGACCTAGAGAACAGAGATCACATTTGGTTTGCTGTCTATCTCTTGAAACAAATACTGTTTCAGACAAATAGCTGGATTATATAAATGACTGTTGCATTAATGCACAAATTAATGCACAAATTAGGTCTAGTTTATGTCTTCCATGATAATATCATTGAATTTTAAGAATATATATTTTTTATTTCCATATACATGTGTAATACCTCATCTGTATTCACTTACTACAATAGAGGGGGAAAGATGGCAGTTTTATGGTTTTGTTTTCGTCTGCTTCTCCACTAGAATACAAACCCCATTGCATCAGAGACATGATCTCTCTTTGTTACTGATGTATGTACATATGTTCAAATGCTAGACCAAGTAATCAATAAATACTTGTTTAATTGCCTAATTAATTAAAGGCAACTTGAAATCAATGTTATTCTCTACCACTGTGGTTCATTCCATAGAACAAAACTGAAGGACATAGAAGGCTTTATGAGTGGCAGTTAAAATACAAATGAGATCAAAGGAGATGAGTACATCCACATGGTTAACAGTGCTTTCTCTATCAGTGCAACCAAACCTTTTGCTTTCTTCCAGAGAAACCATAATCTGTACTTATTTAAAAGAAGGAAATTGGCAAGTCAGGTGAAAGGGGGTGAACAAATCCAGAACATCAGTGAAAACATCATAGAAACTGCCTATACTGGCCCACACAGGGCATAAGGACTGTGTTTATAGTACTGTGCTGAAAGACTAAGCAATGAGAGTGAATAAAGGGGGTTTGGGGCTTCCCTGGTGGCACCAAGGGGTTGTGATGAAACCTATGAAGCTGTTTGCTGCCACTGCAGCACGAGTTCCATCCCCTGCCAGCCAGGGAGCAACCCACCTGGCACAGGTGACCTCTCCTGTCTCGCCAGCTGCTCTCCTCGGCAGTGTGTTTCAAGTCAGTCTGCCTGCTCTGCTCCCCACTCTGTCTCTGGTGAATCTTCTCACCGCCCCCACACGTCTGGCCTGTACCCCAGTTCTTGTATGCATACATAAATTAATCTTTAAAAAAAGTGAAAGATGGACAGGTGGAAAGACTCACTGAGGTTTGGGAGGTGGCTCTCTACTGCCGGAGATGTGTGAACTTTAATGAACAGAAAGAGAAAATAGAAGGTGATGGCTGAAGGGCCTCCCCTGGTGGCACAGGCAGTTGAGCGCTGGGCTGCGAAGCTGCCCGCAGCCTCTGCAGCGCCCGTTTGATCCCCAGCCACTGGCGAGGGTCCCGCATGGCGCACAGACCTCTCCTGCCGCCCGCTGCTCCCCTCAGCAGTGTACTTCGGTCCTTCTGCCTGCTGTGCTCCCTGCTCTGGCTCTGGTGAATTCTCTCACCCTCCTGCGCATCTGGCCTGTACCCCGGTTCTTGTATAAAATAAATAAATCTTTAAAAAAAAAAAAGGTGATCACTGAAGTAAATAATGTCTGGGGACTGAGTGAGGAGGCTATCAGCAGTCTCATTAGTAAGGGTGTTGAAGTCATTGAGCATAAATGACACTCAAATAAAGCTTTGTGATATTAAACATAACCAAAGATACCACAAAAGCACTGTATTTAATGAAACGGTCACTTTAGGACAATATCCAAATATGATGCTCATGCTTGTGATTGATTCAAAACAGTTGTACTTATGCTCATGGATTAACAGTTTAAAATATCAGATAGACGGGAAACTCAGTAGTTACCCACTCTCACCCTAGTTCCACAGAAACTCGAACACACAGCTATTTCTGCCCCTGCGCCGATCCGTCAGTCCCTCCCCTCTGACCTCTAACAAGCTCCGCCCACCACCGGAAGTTGACACAACCCCAGTTCCTTGGTTACAGGCTCTACTTCCGGTCACCCGTTGCCAACAGCCTTCTGCCTGATCAGAGAAGCTTGCTTCTCCCTTAGCCTTTGTTGCCGCCGCCACAGCTGCCTGCCCAGCAACGCCTGCTTTCAACTCACCGTCGCACCACCGCCGCCAGCCATGACGACCCCGGCGCCATCCCAGGTGTGCCAGAACTACCATCCCCACTGCGAGGCCACCGTCAACATCCACCTCAACCTGCAGATGTACGCCTCCTATGTGTACCAGTCGATGGCTTTTTACTTCGATCGAGACGATGTGGCCCTGAAGCACTTCGCTCAGTACTTCCTGAAGCTGTCCCGCGACAAGAGGGGGCAAGCCGAGAAGCTGATGGCGCTCCAGAACCTGCGAGGGGCCCGCATGCGCTGCCATGAGGTCCACAAGCCGGAGCCCGACTGCTGGCAGAGCGGCCCCAAGGCCCTGGAGTGCGCCCTGCACCTGGAGAAGAGCATCAACCAGAACCTGCTCGATCTGCACCAGCTGGCCACCGAGATGCAAGATGCCCACCTCCGTGACTTTCTGGAGTGTTACTTCCTCAACGAGCAAACCGAGACCATCAAAGATCTGGGGGACCGTCTGTCCAGCCTGCGCAAGCTGACGGCTGCCGAAGACGGCATGGCAGAGTACCTCTTCAACAAACTCACCCTGGGAGACAGCGCCCAGGACAACTGAGGCCGCACTGCCTTGCCCATGGAACCGGGCGCGGGGTGCCTTCCTCTGGTCACCATGCTGGGCGCTCAGATTTCAGTATAGCCTTTGCCAAATGTGCATTTCAGCAGTTTTCTTCCCCTATGGCTAGTTCTTGCAATAAAGTTACTGGTTCTTAAATAAAGATCTCTTTATTTGTGCGTGCAAAACCCTCACCTTTTAAGTTTTAACAGGTCTCCAGGAGTGCCTCCACCCACCCATGCCCCAACCTCATGCAGCTAATGGTCTCCAGGGATGGAGGGAGAAGGTATTCAATGGGACCCTGGAAATCACAAATTAATTCCCCCCTTATGAACATGTGGCGATGGGGTTGGGGGGTCTGGGGATTGGTGAAAATGGTATCTATACATAATTTTAAGTATAAATACATGATCTAAAAATCATAATTGCAGTTGCCTCTGGGCATAAGATGAAGGGAATGGGATTGGGCAGGGATTAAAATAAAGGGGAGGGGCTCTTCAGCTTTTTCTAAAATATTTATGTTTGTTAAATAATGCAAATACTAATGGTTAAGTCTGGGCAGCAAGATGGGCCTTGAAGTCAGAATGGCAGAATATCTTCTTGACAAGTTCATCCTGGGTGACAGTGATAAGGGGAAATGAGCCTTAGGCTGGCTTTCCCCTTGAGGGGGGTGGAGGTGGGAAGTTGCAGTGATTTGCGTTGTGGGTTTGCTAAACTTAAGCAGCCTGTTCGGCTGCCATTATGTTTACCTGCAGCTCCGCATTCCTACACAATGTCAGAACTGCCCTTCAGAACCTCTCATTCAGCCAAACTTATAAGGTGCCTTTCATATAAGTCAAGAGCAGAAAGGTTGATCAGTCTGGGAAGGTATGACCGGGAACGCCCGGGGGGCTGAGGACAGATGCATAAACTTACTCCGGACTCATATATCATGAGGTATGACCAGGAATGCCCAGGGTGGCCAAGGACGGATGTATGACAAGAGACCCCAGAAGCTGATCAATGGAATGCCCTGTTGATAAGATTAGGACCATGGACGGGGGTCTGGGGTCCGGTTTTGATTACAACACTTGGTCATCAAGCTGATGACATGGTCAGCAGCCTCATGTACCCCCAAGCCCTAGATATTCCTAAGTTTCACCATCCTTTTCTCCTTATCTTGCTCTCAGCAGCATCCTGCATTATGTAGCCTGCTGCACGACTCCTGTGTCTTTGTCAGTGTGGTACTGCCTGATGCAACACTGTGTGGTCACCAGTGTCTGGCATGTATGTCGCAGTTATAAAACATGCGTTCTTTCATTTGTATCTTATGCATGTGTGTGTGTTCATTCTAAACAGCAGCAAGCTTCATTATGAATATCCAGACTAAATTCAGAATGTTTTCTTAGGATGCTATCCTTTGTTGGAAAGCAGTTCAGTGCTTGCATTGCTGGAAATGATACAGCAGATTTTAAGAATTTTCCTGAGCTTCTTGTATTTCTGCCCTTGAGTTTCATGTATCCAACTTTGATTTAGCTTTTGTTATTTGCTACAAGAGAACCTAAGTTAACAAGTCTTATTATCGCCACACCTATATCAGGTTCCAATGTATGTATTACAGTACACAGCTTCTCTAGGGTAATAAATGACATTTTTCTCTATCTCTAGGCCAAAGTAGAATAAAAGAGGGGGGAAAGGATTAAAGGGTAGAGGGATAAGATCAAATAAAAACAAATGGATGCAAACACAGAGTATCAGGATTTTTGTTAGTTTTTCAGCTTTTGTTCACTCTAGGAATTTTTAGTGTTAAATGTAAAAAAATTGTGAATTTATGACAAGATATTTAGCATTTCCCAAACATTTTGCTCATGAGATCTATTTTCTACAAAATTTCACAGAGCAGTATTCCAAAGAAAGTAACTTTGAAAGCAACATTGAAAGATCTCATTGTATGCTGTTCCAGAAACACATAACTGGCAGATAAACATCAATCATTTTTGTTCTCATTTTTTTAATTTTTGGGTTACATTTTTATTCCTCCATCTGTGCACATGTTCCACTCACCTCCACAAAACCACCCTATCTGCCTCTCCCCAAACCCTTCCCCTCTGGTAACCATTAAATTCTTTCACTAAGTACAAGATTTAGTCCTCCTGTATTTTGCCTGTTTATATTTTTTGGTTATTTATATTTCACAGATAAGTAAAACCATCCAATATCTCTCTTTAACTTTCAGACTTATTTAACACAGTGACGTCAAGGTCCTCCATTTTGTCCAAAAAAATACTGGTTTTAACAACCGTGTAGTCTTCCATTGAATACATATTCCACGGTTTCATTATTCTTTTGCTGAAGGGCACGTAGGTTGGCTCCACACCTTGACAACTATGGACAGTGCTGCCATGAACATAGGCCTACATAAATGAGTTCACAGTAAGGCTCTCTTATTTTTAGGATAAATACCTAACTGGGGTACTTCTGGATCATACGGAATTTTCAATTTTATTTTCTTAAGAAATCTCCGTTGTTTTTCAATAGAGGGCACACCAACTTTCTTACCCACCAACAGTGGATGAGTGTTCCATTTCCTCCACATCCTCACCAATATTTGTTGTTTTCATTGTTTTTGATATGGGTCATTTTCATAAGGCTGAGGTGATATCTTACTGAGGTTTTGATTTGCAGCCCCTTATATAAGTGATGTTGAACAATTTTTCATACATGTGCATGCCATCTGAATGTTTCTGTAGAAGTGTCTGTTTAAGATCTTTTGCCTATTTTTTGACTGCATTGTTTTATTGTCATATAAATTGCATTAGTACTTTGTAAAATTTGGAAATTAGCCTCCTATCAGATGTATGGTATGCAAATATGTTTTCTCATTCTATAGGATGTCTTTTTGTGTGTATGTGGTTTCTTCTAAAGTTTTTTTTTTTTTTTTTTCCTGGTGTAGTCCCACCTGTTTGTTTTTGCTTTGATTTCCCTTGTCATTGGAATTGAGTCCCCAAATATCTTTGTAGTAGATGTCCTTTAGTGTGGCTCCACTGTTTTCTTTTTCAAGCATGTTATAGCTTTAGACTTATATCCAGGTCTTTAACCCATTTTGAATTAACTTTTGTGTATGGAATTAAGGAATGATCTGGTTTTATTTTTTTTTTACATGTGTCTATTCATGTTTCCCAACACCGTTTGTTAAAGAGGGGTCTTCTAAAAGACAGGATTAACAATGAGACCCCACTCCATACCTGTGAGAAAGCCCATATTTAAAAAACTGTGGAGAAAAAGGAACCCTCTTACACTGCTGGTTGGAATGTAAACCCATCCAGTCACTATGGAAAGCTGTGTAGATACGCCTCAAAACACTAAAAATGGATCTACCATACAATCCAGCAACTCCACTCCCAGCAGTCTACCCAAAAAAAACAAAAACACAAATTTGAAAGGAAAACTTTCAAATTTCACTCTATGTTTAGTACAGAACTATCTACAATAGCCAAGATATGGAAACAAACTAAATGCCTCAAAATAGGTGCATGGATCAAAAAGCTCTAGTATATACACACTATGGAATACTACTCAGAGAGCAAAAAAGATAAATTCATGTCATTTGTGGCAATATGGATAGAGCAAGAAGGAATTATGCTAAGCAAAATAAGTCAGAAGAAATAAAAATAAGTCAGATGAAAAATAGCCATGGTTCAATTTATATGTGGAACATAGAGAAACAAAAAAAAAAAAGGTGAAGAAAAAGACAAAACTTGCAAGCTGACCATACATCTGAGGCACACAGCAAGGGACAGGAAGGGAGGGGGTTCAAAACAGGAGAGGGAAGAGCACAAGGGACTATGGTGATAGGTGGTGGGTGATATGGTGGTAGAAGAAATAAGGAGACCACACCTGAGGGGAGAAATCAAATATTATAAAAAAATGAACAACAATGTAAGAAAATGAAATTTAAAAATAAAGACAGATTTAAAAATCTTTAAAACTAGAAAGAAATGTCATTTCTGCTGTAGATTTGAAACTGTAAGATATGTATGAGTAAAGGTAATCTAAAAAAAGTTAAAGCAGCCTAACGGTAGCTCTTTATATAAGAAATACAAAGACTTGAAAGCTTTTACAGCATCACTACCTGAATCCACTAATAAAAATAGCTCACCACACATCAGGTATCAGGTTAAGACATTTACATGAAATATCTAATTTAGGCCTCACAACAACACACAAGAGGTAGTGTTATAATTTCCATTTTATAGATGATCACAGTGAATTCAGAGATAGACATTAATTTCTTGAAGTCAGAAAGCTAGTAAACAGCTGAACTTGAATTTAAACACACACAGTCTGAAATGAGATCCTGGACACTTAACTATTAGTCTATACGATAATTCATAAATGGATTATTTATAAACCCTACTGAGTTATGCTAATATGACAATCTCTTATGAGAAGGTAGAAGAGAAATCTTAGAAACCTGGTTTTACAGAAATCTCAATCTAATAGGATACACCTATAATAGGTTCAATTAGTTAAGTCAACTGATATGGCCCATGGTGTGAAAAGTAGAAGAAATTCCTGAAAATATTCTAAGGACAGTAAATCGGAACATAAAGCCTTCTGTTTTATATTGATGTAACTGCACAAGCCCAAAAAATGTGAACTCTGACTCTGAATGGGCAGAAGTTAGCAGCTTGGATAATTTGAGAAAAATTCATTCAAGGTATGAAATAAAAATGGAAAGATGAAATGTATATAGGAAGAGATTTTAAATGACTAGTAGAGTGAACATATTCAACCAATCAATACAATGCTTAGTAAGAAATAAAAATTACATGAACAATTATTGATTTTCCAATCTAAGGCAGGATATATAGCTCAGAGGTAGAGTGCTTGTCTTCTGATTTTCTAATCTGACATTCTGTGATTAGTAACAGAGTATGATTACTCTGATGCAATCTGAATCTCCTATTTTGAGAAAAGCTTTTCAATCACTTTCCAGTCTCTAGAGGCCTCTAATAAATCAGTAGAACATGGCACCTCTCTGCTATATTCCTCCAAAGTTTGCT